TGGCTCCGGCTGGGATCATGTGAGTGGCAACCAGTTGATGTGTCTCTGTCACATCAATGTTTCTCTCTCTCTCTTCCTCTCGCTCTCCCTCCCACTCTATCTGAAGATGAATGCAAAAATGTCCTCGAGTGAGGATAAAAAAAAAGAAAGAAAATACTTATTGATCAACTGATAGCTGTCAGAAAACAAGAAAGCTCTGAAACACAACCATTCTCTTTCTATCAGTGTCTCTGCTTCTCTTCTCAGTTTCTCTTCTCTCTATTGCTCCGCTTCCTCTGGTTATTCAGTTTCCATTCCCTCATAATTTTCAGATATGTCACAATATGACAACTCCCAATACCTTCTAAACCTTGGCTTCTCTCAACACTTCTTTGCAGTTTCTGCCCCCACTGCCAATTAGTTTAGCTTATTGATTTCCCAGTTCCAATTCTAAAGAGTTCAAATGCCATCGTCTGTCACTTCATGCTAGATCACAGAAATGCCATACAACAGCCTATGGATCATCTGCACTTAGATCCAATGCCCAATCTGCTGTATCCAATCACATGGGTCTGAGCAGGATCACAGAGAATGGACCCGTGGGAAACAGGGCTGTGGGCAGAAAAAGTCCTATAGAAGGAATCCTTTAGAAGGATAGGCAATGATCAACATCTCTAAGGCATTACCTTTTCCTGCTTTATTCTCCTACATGTACATGACAGTCCTGTCAAACAGGAATTGCTATCTCAAAAACTCAGCCCACAATCTTATAAGTCTATGTGTGCGCTCACGCTGTTCTCTCTGCTTAGAACAATCTCTTCCACCATCTTATTATCTAGAGATCACCCATCCAAAGGACATGAACAGACATAAAAGGAATTCCAAAACAGTCAATGCACAAGAAAAGAAAGCTATGAAAAATCATTTGAATGCAATCAAAGAAACGAAACTCAAATTAAGGTGAAATTTTTGTCAATTAAATTAGCAACAAAAAAATTAGAATGATTAATGTACCTTATGATGACAGTTTCTTGTCTTCCTATAAAATATAGCTAAAAGGAAAGGCATTTAATTCCTGTCAAAAATTCCACAAAGATGTCCAAATATAATTTTTTTAAAAAAAGGAAGCACACCTAAGATAAAGAATTTAAAAGTAAATGTACCAGATCAAGTAATGTTGAGAATACAATAAAGCAGTTAATCTTATAAATGGCTGATGGTATTGCAAAATACTACAATTCTTTTAGAAAGCAATTTACCAACATGATTCATTTTGAAATTACAGGAAAACTAAATTACTTTTCAATATGATCAACTACAGAAAATCATTTTTAACATTTTGGTAAATAGCCTTCTATACCCTCTTATTATGTATATTTTTCCTTTACATATTTTCTATAAAAAAAGGATCAAAGTAGGTATACTAGCAACAGGTTTATTAGCATCTGTTTACTCATTATGTCATAAACCTTCATCTATTCTATTAACAGTATTCAAAAATATTGTTTTTAATGGCTCAAAACAATACTTTTAATAGTCTATCATATGGAAAGGTAATAATATCTTCTTAGCAAAAAAAAAAAAAAAAAAGTCCTAATGCTAGACCTCAGATTTTGTCAACTTTTTCATAATTACTGATGGACTGTAATGAACATCCCAATGTATAAATCTTTTGTGCACACCTCTGGTATTTTCTTAAAACAAATGCCCAGAAGTACTTGATAAGGCAAAGAGTGTAACCATTAAAGAGAATTTTTAATAAAATAATTTCTAAATATTGATTTAACCAACTCTTAAATGACTATGTTAGGAAAATAAGGAATGGGGAAGGAGGAGGGAAAGAACAGATGATATAAGAGAGCTAAAGCTCCATCCTTTATCACAGAAAGTCACTGGTCCATCAAATATTTTTTTAAGTTAGCATAAGAGCGTTATATAGAAAAATGAAGTGAGACAGCTAATAGTGAAGAACAGTGGGCAGAATCAGGTGTAAAAAAGTATGGCTCAGTATACTGCTGTTTTTCATTGCAAGTCTTATTCTGTCTGACTTTTCAACCATGCATTTATATCAGTTTCATAAAAATACAAATTACACTGAAAAGATAAAGCCAGCAGTATAATTCAGATATAAAACATAACAGATGCACAAGTTGGCTTAAGAGACCACAGTTCTCATAATTCTTTAGGTAGAAAAAAACCCTCTTATGTATATACCATTACCTATAAAGACATTAAAATTTATAATTTTGCAAATTCTTATTGAGAACCCTCTGTAAACAAAGCATATGACTAGGTGCTGCAGGAGATACTGAGAAATACTGTTTCTATTCTCTCCAGAGAGAAAACAATTGTTGTGAACACTAGAAATATCCTCTCCACATGACTCAGCTATGGAATGTTAGAAAAAGGCCTATGCAGAAAATCTTCCAGTTTTCTCTCAAACATTTTTTTTTTTAAATAGAGAAAAATTAAGATACCAATTCCTCTAGGTAGAGTTAAGCGAGAGCAGTAAATTTTTCTTCAGAAAACCCTTCCATTTTTCCACACACCAGAGAGAGTGCTATAGGCAGTCCTCACCAAATGTGACATAAAACTGGAAAAATAAAAGGGAAATTAGGATAGTAGAAATAAATGAAGTGTTAGACCCTTCATTCCAGTGAATTCCACACAGATCTTGCCGTGTGTCCTTGATAAATGTTTCTTCCTTAGTTCACTTCATTGTAGGTAGACAAAAATGTTCTCAAAACTCAGAACAGTAGTCCCTTCAAGAGGAATCATCATAGTGGCACCAGATCTGAATTATTTCCTCTTTATACAACTGATTTTCTGGACACCTATCCCATAAATAAGGAGCCTCCACTGACAGTGGTTGTTAAGTCTCTGTCTACATCATATTATCTCCAGCTAGTACACCAAATGGAGCTATTAAACCCAGACTCCTGTCTCCTGCTCCGCCCTCACAATCTCTTCCTGCTCTCTTCCTCCTCTTCACTCCACATTTCTCCTTTAATCTCTTCCTCTCGTTCTCTGCTTCTCCCCTTCTTCAAACCTCATTCCTGAGTTTTCCCTTTCCCTGTCTCCTGCCACTGTCCACGCCAAAGAATTGTGGTGAGGAAGGAGAACCATTCTTGTTTTCTCTACTTCCCTACAGGAAGAAGAACCATACATTCTACATTTAGGTAAGAGAAGTCTGGTAACAAAGACATCTAACAAAATGCCAGCCAACATTTTAAGTATAATTCAGACTAAACTATTTGTAAGTTTATCAAAATTTCATGAATAATTTTCTCTTTGCATTTGAGTGACTACCATTTGGGTGTATTTATTTTGATTTTCAATGGTAAACTAAATGTATAATTGTGTTCTCCATTTCTACATTTATTACACACCCTTTAAAATGTTGTGTCTAATGACTACTATGTAATTTTAGGATCCACTTATATAGTGCTTCCATCCCCAACTTTACCAAAATCTACCTTTCTCTCCCAAATAGTGGGTATTGGAAAGAGAAAGGTGAATGTTCCCTATCCTCATCCAAGCCTCTGTACTGATGGGTCCCTGTGCCAAAGAGTAAACAATATAATGTTCACTCCATGGAAGCAGCTACATCCAAATAGCCTGTTGAGTCAAGTTCAAGTGTACATAGTATATGAACTTTTGAACTCTGAAAAATACGGCTTAGAATCCCCAAAAATCTGGCTTTTAGGGTAGACGTTCAATTTTCAAGTCAGAATAGAGATATTGAAGAAAAAAAAAAAACCCAGGAAGGATTTGATGACTACATCAACTAAAAAATGAGAGAAGGCTCCAGAAATAGCTGGCTAAAAAGTAATACATCAAGCATTTAGATACTATAAGTCTTAACAAATAATCTAAGTTTCAAACATGTTCAAACTTATGCTTAAAGTATAATAAATCCCCAAATACCACCTTAAAACAGTCACATAAATTAGGATGGTATGCATAGGTCTAGGACTAAGGCAAAATCCATCATCAATATTTGTTGGTGCACCAAACTATTAAATAGGGTTTTTTTTATATATATATATAACTATTACTATGTCTTATCATAGTAATTCTACAAATTGTAGATAAGTACAAAAGTACCCAAACAACTAGGTCAAAAAATGCTACCACTCACGCAGTTTCCCTAATTCTTTTGCAGTATCATGGGCTAATGAATTCATAATGGATGAAAAAACATATTATAAGTCTACTGTATTTTGTGCTAAGGAAATCAGGGCACTTCTCTGCCCTACATGATGGACAAAATATCAAAATTCTAAATAAAGACAGGATTAGTTTTGCCTCAGTCTCCAGTGTGGCTTGGCTTGGTACTATTACTGATTCTTTGTTGAAGATCTTGATATTTTGTTCATCATGGATTTTTCACACTAACATTTATTTTCAAATATTACATTAAAATGTTATTTAACTTGATTACTGAGGTTTTCAGGGCCCATTTTAAATTCTGCACCTTAGGCAAGTGCCTCACTCTGCTCATACTGTCCTGGTCCTGCTCAGAGATTACAGTTCACACCAGAGGATGGAAAACGTTTTCTGAAAAGGGCCAGATAATAAGTATTTTAGGTGCTATGAGCTAGGAGGTTCTGTTACAACTACTCAACTCTGCTCCTGTAGAGCTAAACCACCATAGACAATATTCAAACTAATGTGGCTGTGTATCAATAAAACTTTATTTACAGAAACAGGCTACAAGTCACATGTGTCCCACGGGCTGTCATTTGTTAACTCCTAATGTACACTAAATCCTCATTTAGTTGTCAGTGCTAGAGAGTAAAGTAACTCACATTAAATTAAAGAAAAAAAAAAGCAAAGCACCCATAATCACACTATCTAACAATAACTACATACAACCTTGGTAAATTATCTTCAAGTTTTTATATACATTTTAATAAAGATTAGGGTATTGGGCAAGGTAGGACTGATTATGCTATGGTAACAAATTAATCCCTAAATCCCAGTGGCCTCAGTTAAGGCTTATTTCTCATTCATATTACCTGTCCATCACGTGCCAGCAGGGGCTTCAGTCCATCAGGAACCCAGAGTGATTATGAAACCCCAGCACCCTGGAGCTGCATCTGGAACACATGACACCTAGGAGATGAAGCAACAGCTAGACTAGAGGGTCTCACACCAGTTTTTTAATGCTTACAGTCTATTGTCTGTAACTAGTTACATAATTACAGGTGGAAGAATAGAAATGTCAAAGAGATAAAATGGAATGTTTGGTAACCATTATTAACCTCTTTGTCACATTAAAATCACTCTATATATATATACTTTATTCCTGTTTGCTCTTAAAACTATCTCATAAGGATTTCCTGAGATCATCAAATCTCTTCATAAACATATAGACAGATATAACCCTTGGTTACTGAGTCACTTTTTCACTATTATAAATACTGCTATGTGCCAGGCATTTTCCTAAGTATTTTATATGCATTTTTTCATTTAATTATTACAACTAGTCTATGAGGAAGATACAATAGTATGCCCATTTTACAGTGCTGAAAGTAGAGGCCTAGTTTTCCAAAGCCAACCAGCTAGTAAGTGGCAGATCTTGAACTCAAACACAGAATTGTCAGACTTTAATGCCAGTGCTCTTAACCAATGAGTGTAAACTAAAAAACGACTGTCCAGTGTGAAACACAACACTGCTGTCCTGGGGTACTGCCCAGAAAGCACATCATCACAGGAGTGAAAAGATGTATCAGACCATGAGGGCCTGTTGTTACCACTAACCTGTGGATAGTAGAAACAATTGCAGATGAAAAAGTGAAACCCAACAGAAGACTGAAATTTTTTTCTAGTTATTTCTCTTTCTCTGTAAGGTATTTGGAAAGATGACTGGCATCTATGAACTCATTAAGGTCCCTGAATTCTTAGTCCATTTTGGAGGAGGTGGGGACCCTAAAGCTATAAGTGGACACTTGCTACATTGGAAATTTGGAGTTCAGCAACATTCCAATTGTAAAAAATGTAAGAGTAGTAAACATAAGAATCTCCTTTTAAAAGGTTAACTATATCTAATTTATCCTTATTTAATATGTGTTCTCTTTCTACTGAAAGCAAGGATTAACGTATAGGTTTCTGTTGTAGTCTTTAGTATTTTTCATATACTCATGTTTTATAGTAATTCTACAAACTGTAGGACTGACTATGTATTACCATATATTTTAAAATTCTTAATGAACTAAAGGATTTATAGTTAAAAAGTATTAACAGTATAGAGTCATTTAAATATTATCACCACAATTGTGTTTTAAGATGGCAAATTAAACCACCTATCAAATTTAACCATGCTGTCTTAGTCTGTTTGGGATACTATAACAAAAGTATCATGCACTGGGTGGCAAAAACAACAAACATTTATTTCTCACAGTTCTGGAGGCTGTCCAACATAGGGGTGCTGGCAGATTCAACAACTGGTGTGGATGGTTTCCTGGTTCATTGACAGCCATCTTCTCATGTATCCTCACATAGTAGAACAAGGGCAAAGGAGTTCTCTGGGGTCCCTTTAAAAGGGCACTAATCCCACTCATGAGGACTTCATCCCCATGACCTAATTGTCTTCTGAAGGCCCCACCTCCTAATACCATCACATTGGAGGTTATGATTTCAACATGAGTTTTATGGAGACACAAGCATTCAGTCCATAACACAAACCAAGTTCTATTTTTGTAATAAATCCTTTCTCAGAGTTATCATGGAGCATATAGACACATGAGGAATTTCTAATGGTCAAATTTTGTTTATTTAGAAGGTGTATTAGTTTCCTAGGGCTGCCATAACAACTTACTGCAAACTTGGATGGCTTAAAACACAGAAATGTTTTGTCTCACAGTTCTGGAGAGTAGAAGTCCAAATCAAGGTGTCAGCAGGGCCATGCTCCCTTTGAACATTCTAGGGAAGACAATTAGCTTGTCCCTTCTTAGTGTCTAGTGGTTGCTGGCAACCCTTGGCATTCCATGGCTTATAGACCCTTCACCCCAATCTATCTCCATTGTCACATGGCTGTCTCTGTATCCAGATTTCCCTGTTCTTACAAGGATACTAGTCATTGGACTAGAGCCCATCCTAATCCAATATAACTTCATCTTAAATGGATGCAAAGACCCTAGTTCCAAATAAGGTCATATTCACAAGTACCTGGGATTAGGATTTTTTGTGTGCAATTTATTGGGGGTGATATTGGTTAATAAGATTATACAGGATTCAAGTGTACATTTCTATGATACACGATCTGTATATTGCATTGTGTGCCCAACACCCAAAGTCAAATTTCAACATACCTTTTGGGGGGATACAATTCAAAACACAGCAGATGGCATAAATGTCTTCAGGTTTTCCTTGATGTAGGTGAAGAAAGCAAGAAAAGAATTACTCTCCACCTACTCTAGTGGAAGGCTCTATGTTGAGTTTTGATAAGTTTTTACCAAAAGACCCACATTCAAATATTCCATAATAGGATTAAACACATAGACTTTTAACTCTTGAATGGGTTTTGACAAGCAAAACTGGGTATGTATACCCCATATATAACACTGTTTATCAATCCATCATAAAATGTATTCTAAGTTCAAACAAACTACCTACAAACAAAATTTGGCAACCACATCATTTGAAAATAAGAAACTGCTTATAATTTTGAGCATTCCTCATTTTTCTCTCTTTCTTCCAAGGGAAAGACTCTGTTATTTGACATATACTATTTGTAAATGCTTTTAGAACTTATAATAATCCCTGAACTAAATGGTTAGCAAACAATATTAACAGATGATGGTGGTGATAATAATGATGTTGCTGATGATAAGAATAAATCTAAATGGACATTTAAGAGTACACTAGTCTTCTGTTTGTGTAAGAAGGAAATTTTTAAAAGTAGATAACTGCATCCAAGTATTTATTATTTCTTACATAATAAGTACAGATAGAGATCTGGAGCTTATGTTAAAAATAAAAAATCAACCAAAGCTCAAAATAAATATATTCAGTAGTGAACAATGCTCTTACAACAATGTAGCCTTTCACAGAGCACCTTGGAGTGATGAATCATTGTGCTTGATGATCTTAAACAAGGTTACATATAATTAGAGAAGCATGGAAGTTAGGGGGCTGACATTGTTATTTTATACAGAAACATAGCACCAGACATCTAATAAACATTCAGAGGTTTGTATTTGTATTATGTAAGAATTACAACAACCCTAAGAGAAAAAAATCTCTAGTCAAACTGTAAAATGATTTTTCACTTCCGTTTCTGAGTCATTTAAACTGTGAATAGCAAGCCAAAAATAAAAGTACACAATCAGGAAGGGTATCAAGCTAATTCTGTATTATAGATACAGATAGATGATAAATATATAGATAGCTCTTGTATTTTAAGTTTATAATCCATACAGTTATAATTTGAGAAATTTTATAAGAATATTCACAAATGTGATATGTTTAGCTTTTAATTTGTATTATTAAAACCTCTAGAGACCAAATTTTATTTCAAATTATCTAGTACAGGAATCTTTAGAATATATGTTATTTAATATATACTACTCTTTTCTTCTAAAAATTAAAATCTTGAAAAAGATTTCTACCTCCCAAAGTTCTGCCTTCTTATCGCTATTGCCCTCTGCATCTATTAGGCATAACCTTACTTGATTATGCTATCTGGTTGTCCCTCTTAAGATACTGAAATCCTTACTACTTTGAACCCTTAATTCTCCAGTCTTGGTTCCATCCCTACTGCTCCTCTTTTGGCATTTGACACTGTCAAGGCCTGGTCCTCTCAGCTTCAACTGATCACTCTTCTGGTGCTGAGTAAGCAAGGCCTTAACCAAACCAAATATAATTAAAGATTTGAATTTATAAAGGGATTCTTCCGCTGCCGTTGCCCCACTTATTACTTGTTTACCCTCCCTTCTGGCCATTTCTTTACCAGGGCCTAGGAACCCAGTCACAGTTACATCTCAAGGACTAGAAACCATTCTTCCTGGTTGGCTTGGACACCACTGCCCATCCCTGTGTCATTAGGCTGTGCAACAAGCTCTGTCCGTCTCCTCCATCCTGTCCTGAACCTATAAATGAAACCTCTGATATGGAGATAAGGTTCTAAAAATCTCTCTTCTCCATGAATCCTAGAAAATAGCCAAAGCTCCAGAGAGATGTGCCTATTTCTCCTTAAATCCCTGGACACTCAAATAGCTCTATCTCAACTACCAATTCTGTCTGATTCCTAAACTCCCTAAAAATCTGCCTTTCCACAGAATCCTTCTGTTGTTTTTCCTATAACCTGATCAAATCTGCAGGCACTGATTCCGATAAAATATCTTTCCTCCACAGAATCCATGCATCAAGTCTTAACCAGATTCCCAACCCATTGGGAATGATATTCCTGCTTCTTTCACTAGAATGAAAGAGGAGGTAGAATAATTAGGTCAATTGGTCAAGTCCAAAAAAATTGGTGCACATCACACTAGGAACCTAGGGGAGCTCATAAAAATTTAAGAAACAATCACCTAACCTTTGATGCTCTACTCAGTAGCAAGAGAGTAACTATGTTTCTTTGGATTCCTTACATATTAGAGAACAAGAACTCAAATGGAGGCAGAAATTACTAGAATGATCAAATCCCAAGAAAGATAAAACTACCCCCACACACAGGATCTAACAGTTACAAAACTCAGAGGCAGTATCATTGGGCAAGCAGAACCTTTACCCAGAGACCAGCATACTCAAATGGACAAGATAACTTGATAAATAAATCTAGAGAATAATTCCAATTAAAGTATTCTAAAAAAGATCTGAAGCAGCTTCATATTGAAGATATATACTCTATAAATACAATCCTATAAGTAAATAGACATATCATTATTAACGTGAAAAAGTAAAATCCATTAGTGAAATTAAGCGAGAGAAATCTTTACCAGTCTCTGCCATGTTCAGTCTCCAAGTTCTGGCCACTTGTCTTGTATGATGAATGAGGTTGATAATGGAAGAATTATATCTACCACTAGGCATTATAGTCATGAATTTGAGGCAAAAACAACTTTTCTCACTTGGAAAATTAAATTTGCAGAATTAACAGCCACCAGCCCAGTTGGAAGGATAAGTGTTATTACTTATAAGAACAAATATGACATAATAACAACTAATGGCTCTACAAATAGTACAGAAGCAGGTTTCCTTCTTTAATTTACCTCTCCCTGCTAATGAAACTGAACATGACATGCACTGTTTCTTGTCATCACCAATGGTGTTGAGCTTGGCCAAATATGGAAAGACTAGTATTTACAAATGGATTTGAATGAGCTACAGCATCACTTGATAATTACATGCTAAAAACACTGATTTTATACTAACATGGGACAGATACGACACCCAAAAGAAATGCCATAGGTAAATACACAACCAGAAATTAAGTATCCACATTTCTATACCCAAAATCACTGAGGCAAAAAAAAATGCCTTTGATATTCTTAAAATCAATAATAGAATTTACAAAATAAACAGGGATCATTATGCATAAGTTTAATACATGATTTAGAAAAAGATCACTAACCAGTACAGAAAAGAATATACAATAAATGATGCAGTGATAAATCTGTATCTGTGTCTCATAAATAAATGTCAACTGGATGACAGTTATACGCAAAAATTGAGTTTTATAATGCCTAGAGGAAAATATAAAGAATTATATGTAAAAAGGTATATTGGAAAAAAGTCACGTAAGTCATTTTAAAAGTCATGAGTTTTTAAAGTAAAAACTCTTTAGCCCTGGCCGGTTTGGCTCAGCGGTTAGAGCGTCGGCCTGCGGTCTGGAGAGACCTGGGTTCGGTTCCCACTAAGGGCACGTACTTCGGTTGCAGTTTGTCCCCGCCCCTGGTTGGTCGTGCGGGTGGCAGCCACTCGATGTGTCCCTTCATGTCGATGTTTCTCTCACTCTCTCTCTCTTCCTCTCTCTCCCTCCCACTCTATCTGTACAAAAAATGGAAAAATATCCTTGGGTGAGGATAAAAAAAACAAAAAAACAAAAAAAACTCTTTAAAATTTTTTTATTGTGGCAAAATATACATAAGTTAAAACTTACCATTTAACCATTTTTAAGTGTACAATTCAGTGGAATTAAGCATATTCACAACACTATGTTCAACACTATTTCCAGAAATTTCATCATACCTAACAGAAATTCTATCCAATAAGCAACAGTAACTCCCCTCTCCCCTCTCCCCAGGTCCTTGTAACCTCTATTCTACTTTTGTTTCTATGAATTTACCTATTCTCTACCTTATATGTGCAATCATATAATAACTGTCCTTTTGTGTCTGGCTCATTTCACTTAGCATATCATTTTCAAGGGTCATACTATTGTAGCAATATCTGTCAGAATTTCATTTTATGGCTGACTAATATTATCCATTGTATGTGCATATTGCTTTTTGTTTATTCATCTGATGATGGACTCCTGGGTTGTTTATACCTTTAGTTACTGTGAATAATGCTGCCATGAACATTGGTGTACACCTACCTTTTAAGTCCCTGTTATTAATTATTTCCAGTATATATCTAGGAGTGAAATTGCTGGATCATATGGTAATTCTGTGTAACTTTTTGAGGAACCACCAAACTGTGGTCCTCTATAAGATCTTACTGTTATCTTTTTAATCTCTACAATGTCTAATAACATATGTCCCTTATTTTATTTTTTTCTTGTTTCAACAAATTTTTCCAATTATTTTCTTCTTTTAATTTTTTTCCTATAGTAAAATATACATAACATAAAATGTATTGTAACCATTTTTAAATATACAGTTTAGGTAGTATTAAGTACATTCATATTGTTGTGCATTCATCACCACCATCTGTCTCCAGAACTCTTCATCTTGAAAAGCTGAAACTCTGTACTCATAAAACAATAATTCCCCATGACTGCCCCCTCCATCCCTTGGCAACTATGATTTTTAATTTTTCTTTTTCTTTTTTTTATCTCCCTTTATCCCCCACACTCCAGCTTCCAGTAACCACCATTCTACTCTCTATATGAGATCAGCTTTTTGTATTTCTTGGTTAAATTCACATATAATTGAAATAATGAAATATTTGTCTTTCTGTGTCTGGCTTATTTCACGTAGCATAATGACCTCCAAGTTCATTCATATTGTTGCAAGTGACAGGATTTCCTTCTTTCTTAAGGCTGAATAATATTCCATAACATTTACCACATTTTCTTTATCCATTCATCAGTAGACAAACATTTAGGTTCTTTCCATGTCGTGGCTATTGTGAATAATGTTGCAGTGAACATGGGACTGCAGACATCTCTTCCAGATACTGATTTCATT